AAACAGGTGTGTGTGTGTGTATTTGTGTGTGTGTGTGTGTGTGTGTGTGTGTGTGTGTGTGTGTGTGTGTGTGTGTGTGTGTGTGTGTGTAGATGAGTATGAAGGCCAGAGGGGAGCCTAGGGTGTCTAGAAGAGAGGGAGGGCTAGGAGTCTAGCAGGACATTATCAGACCAAATGATGCAGCCACACCTCCATGTGCAACACCATCTCAAGAGCTACCTAGAGAGATCTTGACTTTATCACACACTGTTTGACCTCCCAGCCCTCTTTTAAAATCTTAGCAGAAGCTTCCATGACTCTATAACTCTCTCATTAGTCATGCTTGAAATGGCAGTATCACCTGGATAATCATTTATTTATTTACTGCCTGTGTATCGCAAGCTGGTCTTGAACCCTGGCTTCCTGAGTGCCAGGGTTACTGCTCTGCACCACCACACCCACAGGCAGCCTGGTCTTCTGAGGGCGCAAGCCTTTTGAAAGGCAAGGAAAGTAAGAGTACCAGCATGACGAGAAAACCTGGCCTTTTGGAATTGTTTTAGCTTCTTAGGGCTACTAGGAAAAAAGTGGATTGAACAACAGAAATGTATCATGGCATAATTCAAGAGGCTACAAGTTCAAAATCAAGGTGTTGGCAGTGCCACATTTTCTCTGAGGACATTGTGGGAGGAACTGCTCCATGCCGTCCTCTTTGTTTCCAGCATAGCCAACAGTTGTTGGCTTACAGAGTCACCACCACAACCCTGCCTCTGTCATTGCATGCCATTCTTTTCTGTCTTTCTATCACGTCATGCTCCTCTGTGTCTTTGTCCATCTGCTTCTGTTCTCAAACAAGGTTGCATTCAAAGGTGCTATGAATAGTTGAATGTCTCTTTTGAGAAGACACAGTTCAGCCTAGAAAACTAAACTAGCCTTGTGTTATAGATCATGTTTGTTTGTTTCTCCAGACAGGATCTCTCTATGTAGTCCTGGCTGGTCTTTAATGTACAGAGATCCACCTGCCTCTACCTCCAGTGTTCTGGGATTAAAGGCATGTGCTTTGTGTATATCCTTTTTCATTAGAAACAAACACCACATACTGAGGGAACAATTCATAAGCTAGAACAACACAGGGCATGGATCCACAAGAGGAACAGAGACATGGTGGAGCATCCCAGCCTGTGTCCTGCAGTGATGCTCATGATACAATGACCCAGTGAACCAATCGGACTTGTGTTCAGTGATAAACAATCAATCAGTGGCAAAAGCAGACTTTATGTTCAAATTAATAGAGTACTTAGGAAAATCAGGTAGCAAGTATTGATATCACTTTATCTCAGGCAAGTAACACTACTCCAGAAACCTCTGAACTCTGAAAGATACAAAGATGTTAGACTCTGTCAGTTGCTTCTCTGAACTCCAAGTGGACCAAGACCTAATGAAGTAGCCATCATTCATGGCTGATATCCAACTCTGTGGCACTCAGAAGTAGAATCAGGGTGTCTAATTCACTTCTGTTGACTCACTTGAATCACAGGTTTTGCCACTTGGAAAATCCTGCATTTCAGCAGTGTAGAACAGAGACATGAACAGGTTCCTAAGGACCTTTCTGGGAATGATGCTGAGGTCTCGGATGTCAGTGGAAGATGACAACCAATAAGACAATGTTCCTCAATACCCACCTCATTGAAGGAGGGCTGTGATTGGGGAATAGCAGCTAGTATAAGAATTGTGTAAACAATACTTGTCAGAAAATAGATGTATGTGCGTATGCCTATTCATACAGATGTATGTGTGTATATGTAATTATGGTATGTATATAAAATATATGCATATATAACTATTATTTGTTACATGCATATAGTTAATGATATCTAAAAACTAGAATAAAAATACACAACAAAGATAAATATTTAAGTAAATATACTTCTAGTTACATGTATAAGTTAAAAGCCATATGCTTATGTTTTACATATTTGTGTAATAGAACACTATGTATGAAATTCAAAGTAATTGTGTGGCTTGGCATAGTGGAACACCACGATAGTCCCAACACCCAGAAAACTGAGGTGAGATGACCATGAGGTCAAGGCCGCCTGAGATACACAGAAGAGGAACATGTCTCCTTGAAGACAAAAACAAACCAAGATTAAGCACATCTAAAGAATTGGATCAACACAGAAAGTTGTTAAAGACAACAATTAACTGATAAATCAAGTTGCAAAATAATGTTTACATGTAATTGCATGAATACACTAAATGCAAAAGACATGTATATTTCTTTATATATGTAAATGTATAGAAAAAAGACTAAAAAGGGCATAAACCCAACAGTGAGTACCTCTTATGATGGCTGAGGGGTGCAGGAATGAAGAATAGCTTTTGTTTTGTTGCTTGATTGCTTGCTTTGAGACAGGTTCTCACTATGTAGCCCAGGCTGGCCTAGATTTTGTGGCAATCCCTCCGCCTTAGCCTCCAGAACGTGGGATTGTAGACCTCCACCACCATATGCACTTATAGTAACTTTACATTTTACTCTGATGTTTAGAATTTCATAATGTAATATAGTGATGTCTAACATTTTTTTTAATTTTTAATCATTGTACTTCCTGAGAAATATGTAATAATTAATACGTTAATAACAGGGAAGGCTGCTTGCATTGACAAATTATGTATCACACCGGAAGAGCTGATTTCTCGCCTGGGAGAGTTTGGCCAGTTCTGCCCTGTCAGCCTAGCAGAATCTTATGAATTGATTGATTGTTCTGTAACTAAAAGCTTGGAATTTGCCGCAGAGTTCAGGGGACACTATTATAAAATGGGTTCTCAGGAAAAGCTAAATGTAAGTTTGTTTCTTATGTAGATGTTTATTAAGGAAAGAAAATGACTTGTCTTGATGAGAAGAATGGGCACCCTTGGGAACACCCTGAAAACTGGGATCAATAAGCCCATCATTTGAACCCATGACTCTGGGATCAGTGAGAAACTCAAAGGGTAGCCCTGAGGCTACCCCATCCCCCAGACATATTTAGAAGGCTTTGGTCAGTGCTGGGCTGCCTATCAGGCAGAGAATGCCAACAGCTAGGTCTCACCAACGCAGGAGGTATGTAGCATCTAGACTCGGCCTACAGAAAGACACCCAGGGGATTCAGCTTCCAGAGATGTGGGAGTGAGGCCAACATCAGCAGGAATGAAACAAGAGCTTGACTGATGTCTTCCATACCTAAATAGATAAATACAACACTAGAACTTTCCAGTTATCCTCAGCATCTGTGGGGATTGGCACCAAGACATCCCCTCTAAGGGTGCCAAAATTCTGTGGATGTTCAAGCACAAAGGGGGTAGCATTTACATAAACCTAACCTATACACATCCTCCCACATCCATCGAAACACTTCTAGATGGCTCATAATATCTAATACAATGTAAAAAGCCCTGCAAATAGCTGCCATGCTGTAATGTTGGGGAATTGAAGGGGAAAGGACAGACATGTTAAGAAAAGAAACAGTCTTTTTCCTGAACATATCCGATCTGAATCTGAGGCTGCAGAAGCCATGGATCTGGAGAATGGACTACTTCTAACTATGGATTCAAAAGTCTAACCATATATTAATTCCAGTGTGTTGATGCCTATGATTTGATGATATACAATGGTTTGTAACTGAAGGCAATAATGTAAACTAACCTGAATATTTTATTTTCCTCTGCAGAACAAGAATTTTAATTTATTCACTGGGGGTGCTTATTTCTTGCTGCTTAAAGCATAATAATTACAGAATTTTTAAAGCAGAACTCATGCCAGGTATTTCATGCCTTTGCATTCTGCATAGCAGTTGCTGACACTGGAGAGCCCTAAATGGCACAAGTAGACTAGCAGGTGGCTAAGAACTCTCCAGGTTTTGCATAGAATATGAACTGGAAAAATACTATATTTTTGATTAAGAAGAGAACTTGGATTGCTTGGGATTATTATCCTGAGAAACTTCTTATTGGAGAAGTTACAATAACTTCTCTCAGATGGGTTGAAAGGCTACTGAAATGGTAATTGAGCAGGAGGGCCGCCAGGGTCGTTTTGATTGGTATATTATTGCTGTCTTAAATGTTCTTGCTGCTGTATCTCTTTTCTTAATAGAAATTTCTGATGAACCCGGAATTGTATGTGCCTCCCTTGGCCCCTTATCCACTCCCATCTACTGACATGCTCCCCAAAAGGCTGACCCTGTCAGAGCTGAAGAGCCGATTTCCTAAGTGTGCTGAGCTCCAAGGCTACTGCCCAGTGACTTACCAGGACGGAAAACAAAGGTAAGTTCTCATATTCCCAGGACAAACCTACACCCCTGCTCAGTGCCAGGGGTCCATGGGACAGTGGTTTTTTTTGGGGGGGGATTTCTTTTTATGTGTGTGTGTGTGTGTGTGTGTGTGTGTGTGTGTGTGTGTGTGTGTACATGTGTGCAGGTGCCCACACAGGCCAGAAGAGGGCACCTGATCCCCTGGAACTAGGGTTAAGGACAGCTGTGAGGAGTCACCCAACATGGGGGCATGCTGAGAACCCCAACTCCTGTCCTCCTCAAGAGCAGCAAGTACTCTTAACATCTGAGCCACCTCTCCAGTTCACTAAGAAACGGCCTTATCATGCTGGTTACATTTCTTTCTTCCTTGAGCTGCAGAAGTAGAAAAACAAAACATTTTTGACATCTTATTTATACAGTACTACATATTAATAATACAGTACTACATATTAATGATTAATTACAAAGTGCTTCACATATTAATTACACAATGGTTTTGTTTTGTTTTTCTTGTTTTTCAGATATGAAGCCCTGGTGCCTGGTAACATTCAATATGCTGTAGAGTATCGTGAGAGGATATATATTTGTGAGAGTGAGGAAAAACTCCAGAAATTTTTGAGGTGAAATTACTCACCAGTTGTAAACACTTATTATACTCTATGTCCCATCTACTGCCCTTCGAACTGTGGAAGAAAAAGGAAGGGAAGGGAAAGGAGAGAAGGGAGGGTAAGGGAAACACAGACATGAGAGAGAGGGGCGGGGTGTGAATAAGTACTGCTTTGTCTCAAATCATAGGGCTCCAGGATGTATGACAGATTTTTTAGTACCTGACAATAATGGAATATTATGGGCCCAAAGGGTGAGGAAGGGCCTAACACTCTGGCAAGATTGGGTTGTCTGAGTGAGGACCAGGAATGGACTAGAATAAGGGAAAGGGTCAGATGTCAAGCTGATGCGCCTCTGATCAACCTGTCTCTGGGGACCCAGGAACTGTAGGAAAGTCAGCCTGTCTGCATGTGATATAGGGGCAGGGCTGGGGAAGGTGAGCAGGGTAGAGTACAGAGGTCCAAGCAACACCACCAAACAGCATTTAGACTTGATTCTATGAGCCACAGATGTATGCTGCCTGCTTCTAAGCTTGGTCAGTGTCAGAATCAGTTTTACTTAGGAATGAGTTCTCCATGAGGTGTCAGGAATGGGCTGGGGGCAGAAATGATGTTTAGAGGTTAATAAAGTAATCCCAAATGAAATAGGAGGCATGTTGGAGCTCATACCCTGAGAACCTCCTCTCTGCCACTGGTCACCCCTTCTACCACCACACACACGGTGGAAGACAACCACAGAGGTGAAGGAGAGAAGGGGGAAGGCTGGGATTGGGGCAAGAGAACTTCTGAGAAGCCCTGGGAAGCGAAGCCAGATTAGGGCAGACATTCCTGTGAGACTGAGCCTGTGGCCCTCTACTGGGGGGTCTTGGCAAGTGGCATTGGGTAGAACAGAGGGAGCCTGGAGGAGTGGATGCCGGCCCCAAGACCTGCATTAGCCCAGAGGCCACAGCGCTGCCGCAGCTGAAGGGAAGTGAGAAACGGCAGACACTGCTGCCAACTGCATGCCCCATGGGCAGAAGCTGCTCTTCTGCCAGATGTCACTGGTTGTCAGGAGAAGCCACATTTAAAGCCAAATCCTTCTAAACTTTTTTTACTTTGAACAGTCATGACTGATTTCACAATAGATAGAAAAGATTGTGCAAATAGGGCCCAAGCCTTAGCTTGCTGTCTCTGGAGAGGCTCGGGTGTAAAGAAATCTTAGTGTAAAAAGATGAGGGATGTTAGTTGCTGGGAGAGATGTAGGATTGAAGAGGAGAAGGTGAAATTACTATCATTGCTGGTTTTCTTTATTGTCTTGTTTGTTTGTTGTTTGGGGTTTGGGTTTGGGGAGATGGTTGGTTGGTTGGTTGGTTGGTTGGTTGGTTGGTTGGTTGGTTGGTGGTGGGTTTGTTGTTGAGACCAAGTCTTACTCTGTAACCCAGGCTGGCCTGGAATGGACTCGGAGTGTGGGTTGGCCCATTTTTGACTTCTGGGACTATAGATCACCACGTCCAGCCATTTGCTTTGCTTTTTTTCTAATGGGGAAATTGTGAGCACATTTAAATGCAGTTGCATGGGAAGGATCTGATAAAGTAGGATGTGCCAAGACTTGAGAGTGAGGGAGAAACAGCTACAGTAAGAAACCCAAGGAGAGGATGCAGTGGGGAGTCAGAACACGGGTGGGGACTGCTCTTAGACAGGAGGTACCGGTGCTGGGAAAGGGACCCCATGTCTGCCTCTATTCATAGATCAGCAACTTCCGGAAGAAGTTCCGTCCCAGTGTCCTCCAACAGGGGGTATCTGTTTGGGGGATGAAGATACACTTAGATAATTCAAATTTTGAGAAGAATGAAAAAAAGTTTTGTATAGTTGCTGTGAAAATTAAGAAACTTGATAAACAGATGATCAGGGCTGGAGCCCCAGAGCCAGGTATGGTGGCTCATTCCCAGCACGCAGAAGGTGGAAGCAGAAAAATTAGGAATTCCAAGTTGATCTTACCTTCAGAGTGGGCTACACAGGATCTTGTGTGAAACTGAAAAACAAGAGAAACTTCTAGAACCCCTAGTAGTCTCCCTTGTATAATTTTTCTCCAGTAGATAAAGCAAGCAGTGAGACTTGTCTTATACTTGTGCCCATGTGCACAGCATGGGGGGTGAGGGGGTGAGCATGTGTCTAAAGAGCTTTGTATCCACAGGATGCCGATGCAATACTGGGACCAGAACCTTCCATGCAAACTTCCCCCACCAAAGGAAACCATCTACCTTACCAGTCTCCCTTTGCCTGGATATCTGGAACAGGTTCGGTTGCATGGTTTTCTATAATACACATTATAATCGGGGTCTCTTCTAACAGTGGCTTTTGCTTTTATAACAGTGAGGTTCCAGGAAAAAATTTCCAATTTTAAGTTGTAAATCAGACTTCACCTATTTCATTTATGGGTGGTGATTAAAATGAAAGGTGTGAATGAATGCCTATACCCAATGCCTGGAGCAGCACCAGACAGAAGGGGAATGGGCTGTCTTAAAACTATCTACATGTAAATTGCATATGTAGTTCGGTTTCTCCTTCTCCTCCTCTTCCTCCTCTTCTTTTAATGATTTGAAATGTGTTGGCTTCCCAAAGGCTAACTTATTCCACAAAACAATTAAGTCACAGTACTAAGCTAGGTAAGCTATAAAATCCATGTTTTATCCCAACTCTATATTAACTATCTATTCAAATCATATTTTATTCATCCAGATATAATTATTTTTAAAAACAGTAGACTTGTTACTGGTCAATTACTATTTCAAAGTTATTTAAATTTTAAATTATTATTTGTGAATGTATGTGCACTGCTCATGACTGCTCACAAGTGCCTTGGTATGTGTGTGGAGGCCAAGTGACAATCTGCAGAGCTGGTTCTCTCCTCCCAATTTTATGTGTGTTTCTAGGGTCAAACTCAGGTCACCAGGCTGGCACAGCAGGCACCTTTACCCACTGGGCCATCTCATTTGTCTCCTAAAGTTACTGTTTTTTAGTTCTACAAAATAAACATCAAAAGCACAATTTTACAGCTTTGTTATGACTTCTAAACCACTTTGTTTTTTAAATTTGCAAAAAACTGAAGAAAAACCAAAAGGAAAGATGAGGAGAAAGTTGGCTTCCATCTATGCCAGGGAGGAGTATTGTCATTAGGCCTGTTTTATCAGGAGGCCTCTTTTACCTTCACAGCTCTAGGAACTTGGCTGCAGTAAACTATGGTCTCTGGGATTCCTTGTCATGTGACCAAGGATGCACAGTGTGAGAGGCAGCCTGCCCATGCCAACAACACAGAGAGGAGCCAAGGGAACTCAAAGTCCTGTGTCCTCTCCTTTTTAAGTTTATGTCACAGCAGATGTCAATCATGAATAAAGACCATCAGACAATGAAGCCAGGGCTTGCCACCTAGCTGGCATTATGCCAGCTTATATTTCATTTTCATCAAGTGTAGTGTGTGTTTCTTTCCTGTTGATTGGATGCATTGGACAATCTCCATCCTGGAAAGGCTATGCAATGAAAATAATAAGGCCTTTATCGATCACCACTAAGAATGTGAACTCTGTGCTTGGAAACCAGCTTGATAAGTCAAAGCACAGAGCCCAAGTAATTTACACCAGAAACATAAAGGGTGGAGATGCCCCAGCCACTGGTGAAGACACATAAACAGGTTCAGTCAGTTGTACATTTGGAAAAATAAAACGTTATTAAATCAAAAAACAAACAAAAAAAAGAATGTGAACTCAAATATGCACTGACTTAAATCGTCCCCTCCCTGCAGGGTACAGCAACTTCCCTAATCAAAGCGATGAATGCAGCAGGATGCCTGAAGCCCAAGTTCCCCTTCTTAAGTGTGAGGCGATCTGTACTCCTCTATATAGCGTTTCATCTCAAAGGTATGCTTTTTAAATGACACACCACTCAGAGAAGCTCAGCACTGTACCTACCATGTATGGTAGACTGGGCTGATTATTCGCCTGTATGGGAAGGGGAAAATGAAACACAGGTAAATATGAAAATATCACAACTAAAATGGCCAGTTTTAAAATCAAGTACTATAAACTGGACCTGGTGCACAGGAGGCTGAGGAAGATTACAGGATGAAAGCCTGCCTAGGCTATGGAGTGCAGGAGACTGAGGAGGATTACAAGATGAAAGCCTACCTAGACTATGGAGTGTGCTCTAGTACAGTCTAGGCAACTTAATAAGACCCTGTCACAAAAGCAAAATTTTAAGCCAGGCATTGTGGCACATACCTTTAATCCTGGCGCTCAGAAGGTAAAGGCAAGCAGATCTATGTGAGTTCAAGACCAGCCTGGTCTACATAGCAAGCTCCAGGCCAACCAGGGCTGCAGAGTGAGGCCTTATCTCAAAATAATGCAGAGATCTGGGGATGCAGTTCAGTGGTAGACCACTCACCTAGCATGTTGAGGCCTTAGGTTCAACCCCTAGCACCACAAAATTAATATCATAAATAAAAGCAGGGTAATAAATAATATAGTCAGCACTCAAAAATCCACGCCATAGAGAAAGGTGAACATGGAAAATTATGGTCTAAGATAGCAGCCCTCTAACCTTATCTGGGATGGAAGTGAATCACCTCCCTCATAGCTGGGTGGTCTAGTTTCACATGAGGTTCTGCTTTGTTGAATGGCTTAGTAACCAACTATCAGAAACACATTCACAACTCTGTGACATTTTCTACAGCATTTAACCCCAAAGGTTCTGAATATTCAAGAAAAAAATACAAGAAGAAGATGGAGACGTTTGTGGAGAGATGTGAACTCATAACATACCTCAGTTCCAAGATGACCCGGAAGTACAAGGAGCCTCAGTTTAGAGCCATCGACTTCGATCATAAGCTACAGGCCTTTTTCTCCCTGAGAAACATTGACCCAATTACTGGATAACTTGCTTAGGTTACCAAGACCCAAATTCCAAAAGTCTTCTCCAAGGGATAGAGGGCTCTAAAGGAGCTGACTTCAAATACTGAATTTCCTGAAGTCTATTTCCGTCTTGCCTGATGTTACATGGCTACCAGGCCTCAGACGGACTCAAAGCTTATCAGCCAGGAAGGCTCACCCTCTGAGTACCTAAGTGTTAATACAGTTTTCAAGTTTAGTGCCCTTTCCTGAATTTTGATGCTTCCACAAAATGGGCATTTCATTTGAGATATTAAAATGCTTACTAAATTTATTTTCTTTCTTTATTGTTTTGTTAGTTTGCTTGTTTTTTTGAGAAAGGGTCTCTCTACAAAGCCCTGGCTATCCTGGAACTTACTCTGTAGACCAGGCTTTCCTCAAATTCGCAGAAATCTGCCTGTCTCTGCCTCCCAGGTGCTGGGACTAAAGGTGTGCACCACCATACCTGGCCTTGCTTTCTCTTCCTTCCTTCCTTCCTTCCTTCCTTCCTTCCTTCCTTCCTTCCTTCCTTTCCTTTCCTTTCTTCCTTCCTTTATTTGTTTTTTTAACACTTTCAGTAGAAAACCAGTCTCTGTTAAAGAAAATTACTCATTAAACATTAGAAAGTTTCAAGAGACAAAACTAATGGGAATCTTGATCACACTTTTTACATGGGGAATTGTTTATAAATTTTCTGAACCTAAGACATTGTCATTTTCAATGGGTGGTGGTGGTGCATGCCTTTAACCCCAGAACTTGAGAGGCAGAGACAGGTGGAGTTCTGAGTTCGAGGCCAGCCTAGTCTACAGAGTGAGTTCCAGGACAGGCTCCAAAGTTGCACAGAGAAACCCTGTCTCTTAGAAAACAAAAAGACACTGTCATTTTCTCAACAAAATAAATGATATCAGTAGGAAGTAACTGGCGGCCCCTTTTCTTGTGTTCTTGTGCATGCTTGATATATGGTTCTATTATTAGAGATCACTTGGGGTCCTAAGAAAGAGGAAATCCAGATTTTTACAAAACCTGTCAAAAAAAAAAGTATAAGGCAGAGGAAATTTTAACCAAGTTGTATTTGAGTGAGTTTTTGGAATAAGATCACATTTTAACAGCTGTATAAAACAGCTAGGAAGCTAAATAATAAGTTATATAGGGCTAGAGAGAGGGCTCATCAGTTAGAAGCATCCATATTATCTGCACAGTTTACAAATACCTAGAACTTCAGATTCAGAGGTTCATGCCCCCTTCTGGCCACTGAGGGCACCTGTTCTCACATGCACATATATACATGCACATACACACACATACCCATAATTAAATATAAGGAGACAGATTCTCTCTCTCTCTCTCTCTCTCTCTCTCTCTCTCTCTCTCTCTCTCTCTCTCTCCTTTTTCTTTTTTTTTCCAAGACAGGGTTTCTTTGTGTAGCCATGGAGCTTGTCCTGGAACTTACTCTGTAGACCAGGGTGACCTCGAACTCACAGAGATCCACCTTCCTCTGCCTCCTGAGTGCTGGGATTAAAGGTGTGTGCCACCACCACCAGGCTGAAAACAAATTTTTTAAAAGTGTGGGGGCGGCACACGTGCACGAGAAGGCGTGTATATTTGTGAGGGGGGTTCAGAGAGAGAGAACCATGTAGTTAATAACAATTCTTAAACAAAAGCTAGAATGTAGGACTAGGGGTGTAGGCAGTTGGGAGATGCTTGGTTCATATGCAAGTAACTCCCCTAAGCCTTCACATAAAACCCAAGCATGGTGGCACATACTTGTGATCCCAGCACTTGGAAAGTGGAAACAGGGTAAGAAGGTCAAGAAGGTATCCTTGGCTACACAGCAACAGTCCAAGTTCAAAGCCAGCCTTGGCTATGGGGAACTCTGTTTCAAGCAAACAAACAAAAAGGTGAAGGAGGAAAGGAGGAGGGGGGAGGTAAGGAGAGGAAGAGGAAGCATGGATAGGGAGAAAGGAGGAAGAGGATGAAGGGAGGAAGAGGAGGAGAAAGGAGAAGAAAACAGAAAATTCTGTAAAGTCTGTTAGAAGACTGGGAGTTCAGTGCAAAGGTTTTCTGGGTTTTTAAGCCCTGCCCACTCTTATCCCCTCCCTTCCTTCCTTTCTGTGTATGGGTGTTTTGCCTGCATGTATATCTGAGGACACCAAATACCTTGGAACTGGAGTTACAGACGGTTGTGAACCGCCATGTGGGTGCAGAATCTAACCCATCTCTCCAGCCACCCTACCCACCTATTTTTTCTTAGTATCTGCGAATTGCCATTTTCCCACCACTAGCTCATATTTTACTGACCTTTTTGTTCCTAATATGATTTCAACATCCACTGTCTCTCCAGCCCATGGGCATGCTGATTTTCTTTGACAATTAAGCCCAGTGGCATCATTCAGTGCCCTGTGAGTTTCGAGTTTTGAAGTCCTTGCTGAATAGCTCCAGGTATTTCTTGGGAACTCCAGGAAGGCTCTCACATGCCCTAAAGCAAGTCCATATCCAAGGGGCATCACTTGACAAGATCATGTTCTCTAATGTGGCTTCTGCTAGGTCCACTGAACCTATGGCTGGAATCACCCCAAAAGAGGCAACAGGAAACCACAGGTAGAATGCAAGCCATCCCAAATGGAGTCAGTTTGGATTCCAAAGAGAGAAGTACTAAATGGCAGGGTGGTGGTCTACACACTTATCAAGAGAGCTTATACACAGAGGAGGCTGTGGTGGACAAGGGATGCCCTGTGGAAGAGGGTACCCAATTAAGGGGTTGGAGCATGGAGTTTGTATGATATCTTAAGAAATCTGGCTTAGGGTCATTGTGAGTGAGTGACTGCCTTTTCTGTAGTTTCAAATTCTTCCTTTGTTCTAAACCTTAGACTGATGTCAAGCTTTGACAACCATGTTTTGTTTTCCTGAATCGGGAATAACTTACAATATTGTTTAATTTTGTATTGTTGGTGAACTTTTTAAAGCTGTGTGCTAACTGCAATATATTATATGAATGGAAAGGGGAAAAAAGGAAATTTGGCTTAGGTTGGGCTAGTTTCTTTCAGGCTGTAGAGCAACCAACTAAACTACAGTCTTTGGCTGGAGTTCAAGTCTGCCAGGAAAGAATCAGGGAGACCAATCACAGAGCCACTTTGTTTCCTCTTTGGGGATAGGGGAAAAAAAAAAAAAAGGAGAAGTGGGAGGTTCTGCAGCTTTTCTCTTAGATTGTCATGACCTCCAAGATGCTTGGCCAGGAGTTTTAGCACCTTAGCTGCCACTGTTTAGGATTCTGAATACTGCACAGGCATGAGCTAAATGTCCCCTCTCTTAGAAAGAAGTCACTGAGCTGACCCAGTAACCAAGCCCCATATGGTTCCCCTTTCTTTTCCCTCTCTTCACGATCATCTCCTCTGAGTGAATAAATCTCTCAACAGAGTACAGGGGACTCAAGCAGTGGGGAGTTGAATTTCCCAGAATGGTGTAGCTCTGGCCAGTAGAGGTCCCGGACACACACATGCAAATGCAGTTACACACATGTAGAGGCTTTTACCGGAAAGATGTGGACAAGTCACATGCACAGGCTGTTTGCAGTGAGTCAGCTGGTCTACCTCTGAATTAACATAAATTAATACATGTCTTAGGGTTTCTATTGCTGTGAAGAGACAGCATGACCATGGCAACTCTTATAAAGGAAAACATTTAATGGAGTGGCTTACAGTTTTATCATTGTGGTGGAACATGGCAGCACGCAGGCATACATGGTGCTGGAGAAGGAGCTGAGAGTTCTCCGTCTTGACCCAAAGGCAGTAAGAAGTGAACTGAGACACCGGGCATCGGCTTGAGCATATGTGAGACCTCAAACCCCACCCCCACAGTGGCACACCTACTCCAACAAGGCCACACCTCCGAATAGTGCCCCTCCCTATGAGCTTATGGGGACCAATTACAAATTCCTACACACACATGCATTTTTAAGTTTTAAGGGTTATTCATTTCCTGGGTATGAGCATTTTGACTACATGTATATGTCTGCACCACATGAGTGTCTGGTGCCTGCAGAGGTCAGAAGAGAACATTGAATCCCCTGAAACTAGAGTTAAGGATGACTGTGAGCCACCATGTAGGTAGGTGTAAACACTTCAAAACGCAAAGGAATAAATTCTATAGTTTTAAACACTTACCATTGTATTCTATGCTTTTTATTTCAGTCTCAATTCACCTGAGAATATATTGAATTCAGTCACTTGGTGGGGAAGGGAGGAAATCCAAACACAATGAATGAAAATATACAGCTGTGGGTGATTTTCTGTCTTTCCCTTTGTTTTTTGCTTTTATAAATGAAGACCTGGGTAGAGAAAGACACATCTCCAAATACTTCATTTTGGGATGGCACTGGGAAGAATTCTTCCCAGGAGGTAACTTCTTAATTAAATGGCCTCAAAACTGAGATTTTTTTTAAAATCATGGATAAAAGGCATTCCATGCACATGAAACCTGTGTTCAGGGATGCTGAGCACCCCTTAGTATAAAAGCCAGTGTACGTTGTGTATATTCTTGGGAGCTCCACCAGTCTGCAGCAGATGGTTTTTCAAAGCCAATGTCACCACTTGGTGTAGTGCAAGAGATGGGGACCTAGAAACAGGAGGACTAATGAATTAGTGCGGAGGAGGAGGACCAAGAAGAGGAAACAGAGTGGGTTGGAGGAAGAGTGGGGGGCTATAAAGGTGGGCTCATGCATTGAACAGTGGACTTGGCCTTTCGTTACTCAAATCCTGAAGTCAGCAGGTTATCAGCCATCCATCCCAGCTTTATAGAGGTCCTGATACCCTTCATTCCCACAAAGAACTTGCTCCAGCCCTTAGGTGGCAGCTACTGACATGCCCCCCCCCTCAGTCCTGTCAATATCTCAAAGACCTAACCCATCCAGAGGCTAGCAGGCAGTGGACTGTTGATAAAGTCCTTGATTTTGTTTGTGGAGGTAGGGGTGGGTCACGTACTCAAAAGTGCGAGAGAGCGCACCCATGCATGTGCGCTCACACACTCACACACACACACACACACACACACACACACACACACACACGCCAGAATTAATGGAAATTAGGGAAAGGAGAAGAGGAAAGTTTCAGATAACCCACTTATCTCATATTTCTTCTGTAAGTGATCTTACTCAAAAGTGCATAGTCTATGCTCTAGTAAAATTACCATCAAAATCTCCAACACTCCAGATCCTTGCTATGAGTTGACATTTAAAATTTTTCCAAATTCAAAGTAATAAATTTTTTAGCATTTTTGTTAGTTTTCACTTTATTAATCTGTCTTTACATAGCTATCTAGCCACATCTCTTAGCATGACCACCTTGTATACAACCAGCCCTTTTGGCAGTCTTCCTCAGACTGGCTACTGGTGACCTGTTTCTAGAGACACTGTTACTAATAACCAGCTTTTCATTTAAACAGCAGATTGGTCAGTCTATTTAATCTAGTTTGTTTACTCTCCAAGTTAGACACCTAATTTATAGTTCTGTGGAGTTTTTACTGCAGTGTTTTTACTGCAACTCTTTAGGCAGTGGTAAAAAAAAAAAAAAAAAAAAACTAGGTGGAAGCTAAATCCAAAGACCACTTCTGAGGCTTGAGCTACTTTTGTTAAAAACTGATAAGAATGAGCAAGGCGGTGATGGCGCACGCCTTTAATCCCATCCCTAGGTCCGGAAGGAATCTGAGTGGGACTTGGAGACCAAACTAAGGACCATCTATGTATTCAGAAGTCACAGGAGAGCCACAGCAGATGCTACCCCCAAGCATGGCTGCATCTGTTGTTAGAGAACTCTCCCATCCTCCTGGGTCTTAGAAGGAACAACACTGCAGCTGAAACAACAGAAACCCTCAGCAGTCTCTTGAGAAATGCCACAAATATGAATGAAAAAAACAGCGGCTGTTTCAGTTACAATGTCCAAGCTAGCTCTCACCAGCGACGTTCTAACCCTGCCAGGCGGTCACTGGTCTTCCCACCTCCACTCTATAATACACAAGGCGCCGGGGGAGAGTCGTTAGCGGAGGACAGGGAAGCCGAGCAGAGAAACTTTTAGGGGTAAATATTACATTAGCACCCATGACGAGATGAGGACGGAGGTGGCCTCACTCGTCCACCACGCACTCCTCATCAGCAGCTTGGGGGTCTACCGGACGAGTGTCTGAGGTGGCCGCGGAGAGGCGGCTGCGCAACAGGACGCAGACTCCCGCAAGAGGCAGCTTCCCGCGTCAGACCGTCCCTTTCCGGGTTCCCCAGCAAACTCCGCCCCGGAGGCGGACTAGCGGTCACGTGCTCCGGCGGCTGTAGGTGCGCGCTTCCGGGTTGGCGACCGCGGCGAGCCGAGGATCTGCTCGCAGTGGCGGTGGGGGGGGGGAGCAGCCACGGCGCTGCCAGCTGGGTCCCCTCTAGGTGGCCGGGTGGACTGGCCGCGGCAGGACCCCGCTGGGCGGCCCGACAGGTAGGTCCGCCGCCAGGGGGCTGGTCCGGGGCCCTTGTGTCTTGCAGCGCTCGCGGGACCCAGGCCCCGGGCCTGGAACGGGAGCTTGGAGCGCGGGGCCTCTTGGCGCGATCTCCCTTGCGTGCGTTCATTTTCACCTTTCTCATATTTGCTCCCACAAACGAAACAGCGAATCACGTGTGGGATTGAAGCAGCATAGCCCCAACCCCCAACACTGTGCAACCACACTTCTAAAGTTTAAATACGAAGTGAATGCAAGGGCTGAGGGCAGTACAGATGTTTGATCCCCTTCCGTAATTTCCAGACCGTAAGAGGTTATGTGGATACTGGAGAGGCATCGTAGCCGCAACGGGGTGAGAACCTAAGGGTGGGTCTCTAAGGAGACATTAAAGGTGGTGATGGCAACATTGGTTCGTGTCAGCTGAAACACAAACACAACCGTGTTAGGCAATACTTCCTCCTAAGTAAACCTTGTTTTCTTATTTCTGATTTAAGCCTCTCCGGAATCTGGAGAAAATGGCAGAGACAACACCAGAGACTTCTGGGCAGCTTGTTGTGCACGCAGACACTCACAGTGACACTGTCCTGGCTAGCCTTGAGGACCAGAGGAAAAGAGGCTTTCTTTGTGATATTACTTTAATCGTGGAGAATGTGCATTTCCGAGCCCACAAAGCCTTACTTGCTGCCAGCAGCGAGTATTTCTCGATGATGTTTGCGGAGGAGGGCGAGATTGGCCAGTCTATTTATATGTTGGAAGGCATGGTTGCAGACACCTTTGGGATCCTGCTGGAATTTATCTATACAGGTTATCTACATGCCAGCGAGAAAACTACAGAACAGATCCTGGCTACTGCGCAATTCTTAAAAGTCTATGATCTGATAAAGGCTTACACAGATTTCCAGACTAACCACAGCTCGTCAAAGCCAACGGCTTTGAATGGCACTGGTACTCCAGTAGTTGTTATTTCTAATAAGAAGAATGATCCTCTAAAACGGAAACGGGGAAGACCGAGAAAAGGCAATAGTATACAGGAGGGGAAATCAGAACTAGCTGCAGAGGAAGAAATGCAGCTAAGAGTGAACAATTCAGTTCAGAACAGACAAAACTTTGTGGATAAAGAAGGAGACGGTGTGGAACTGAGTGAACAAATGCCAAAAGAAAAGGAATCTGAGCCCACTGGTGAGCCAGGTAGAGTGGAGGAGATGCTTGCTGAAAAGGATGAGAACTGTGACCCCAAGGCTCTGGACGGACAGGATAGCCTGAGTAGGTACAGCAAACGGAGGATTCGAAGGTCAGTCAAGCTTAAAGATTACAAACTCCTTGGAGATGAAGATGACCAGTGTTCCGTCAAGAGGACATGTGGAAGGAAAAAGCGTGCCAGTGGTCCTGAGGCCCAGTGTAAAGACTGTGGCAAAGTCTTTAAGTATAATCACTTTTTAGCAATCCACCAGAGACGCCACACTGGTAACTACACTTTCCAAACTTGGTGCAACTCATTGGGAAATTTGGAATTGTGGTCATAAGTATTTATTTATGGTTCCATTTCTGCATGACAGGCATTGCAATAAAGCTTTCTTACATGTTATCATATTTAGGTCTCAGTAGGCTGTGTCCCCGGTCTGCAGATGAAGGGAGGGTCTTAGAGCATGCTCACCTGTGTCATGGTGACCCAGCAAATCCAGACAGAGAACCCTTGGTTTTTCTGTGTGTGTGTGTGTGTGTGTGTGTGTGTGTGTGTGTGTGTGTTTCTTGTCAAGTTATCAAGCACCTCCTGCCTTTTGATTTGTGAATGTTCTCCATCTTTGTGGAAGGCTTCGCTTGCCCTACTATACATCCTTATAGTTTAGCCATCTTATAAAGATTATTTTCCTTTTGGGTGTCCCTGACTCAGCATTGGTAGTAGTCCCCCATGTGACTGAAATGTCTTCTGTCCTCTCCATTTGGCCAATGTGGCAGCCACTAACGACATACAGACCTTTTCCTCTCTCACAGTACCAGGGATGGAGCCCAGAGTTTAGATGCATGCCAACTAAGCATTTCACAGCCAGGCTGTATCCCAGCCCTACATAGAAATTATCACTTGAATTTAGATAGCTAGACTGAGAAACTGAATTTTAACTTTGTTTTGTTAATGTGAGTTTGAATAACCACAGATGTCTGATGGCTACCATGTTGGACAGTTTATCTATAGTGGAAACTCTTGAGCCCTTTCTTGAGCTGTTTAATTTGCAGTTTCAGGTCAAGTTGTAATTATCACTTATAAGATTACATATAGGGACTAGTGTTTAAGTTTTGCTGTGACCTAGCACACCTGCTGCTGTGTTTCTGAACCTGCACAATAGAACCACCTAGAGCTTCTGCAGCTATGTGTGCCACCGCCCACTCCCAGATTTCTGATTTACCTGTCTGGATTATCCATATGTGAAGTTTCCAGAGATGTAGAGTGCACTGGCCTCATTCCCCAACACCACAGAAGCTGGGCAAGGAGGCATGTTCTATGATCCCAGCACTCCAGCTGTGGAGACAGGAGGATCTGAACCTTAGGGTCATCCTTGGCTGCAAGACAAGCCAGGAATATGTGAGATGCTCCCTCAAAAAAGAAAGCTTTCTATATGGTGAAAACTTGAATTAGGGTACTTTGAACAGAACAAAGTACCAACTATGTGTTGCACTGTGGTGGGTTCTATTTTATTCTATTTCCCAATGGGCTCTGTATCTAATGGAGTCTAATATGAGATTGTATTTTAGCTATTTTTATCCAAATTATGCATAATTTCAAGCATTACATTGTTCAGTAAAACATAAAACTTAAGGATAAACACCTCATAGAATCTTTCCTTTATCCCCCCATGTCTGAAATTTTGCAGTCAGCCACTGTGCCCAGTGTTCTTAATGTTTTCTATGCATTGCTGCTTTTCCTTTTGTGTTTTGTCTGTCTTCACTATTAGATGTTTGACTATAGTGTAAAGATTTATTTTATGTGTATGAGTGTTTGCCTACATGTATATATGTATGTGCACCATGGGTATGTGTAGTACCCAGGGAGGCCAGAAGAGAGTGTCAGTCAGATCCCCTGGAACTGAAGTCTCAGGTGGTTGGGTGTCACTCTGTGGGTGCTGGGAACCCAGCTAGGGTCAGGGCACTAAAAGCTATGGCATTTCTGTGTATATGAAGACTGGGTCTTAAAAGTTAGGTTACATCTCATAGCTTCTACCTATTGGTTTTGATTTCATCTATTCCACTTTTAGACTTTAATTGCTGATAGCTCACCAATCCCTGGACTTTGGGTGTTTTCCCTAAATATTTAACATTATAAATGATTCTGTATTATATATTTTAACTTGGGAGGTTCTTGTTTACATCATGCTTCTTGGCTTTGATCGCAGGGGAACGACCCTTCAAATGTAATGAGTGTGGGAAGGGCTTTGCCCAGAAGCACTCCTTGCAGGTCCACACCAGGATGCATACAGGGGAGCGGCCGTACACCTGCACCGTGTGCAGCAAGGCACTGACCACCAAGCACTCACTGCTGGAGCACATGAGCCTGCACTCAGGTAATGGGGCTTGCACTAGAGGGCCACCAGCCACCAGGGTCCATTTCCTGGGGTGGCATTTCTGGCATCTAAATGAAAGACAGGGTTATGCATGTGTTGGTGTGCTGTTCTGACCTTAGTAACTGGCTACTGCAGAGCAGTGTGCATCTAAATCTAAATTCTAAACTAGAGTATAGAATTTTCTCTATGCCCTTGAGGACCACTTGCAGTCAAGACCACTTGTGGTCTACAGTTCTATTCCAGGCTCCACTACCCCATTGCCTTGCATAGTTTTACACACTCTGGAAAGGCTTCTTCTGAGTGTGTAGACAAGGTACTCATCACTTGTAGAAAATGGGAACCTGGGCACTGTGTTATTTAACTCAATGAGCATCCTAACTCTCTGCAGTTTTGGCATGATTTAAGTGTCTTGGTTTTCTTTTTGTTGTTGTTGTTTTGTTTTTTAATTGGCAGGGCAGAAGTCTTTTACCTGTGACCAGTGTGGAAAATATTTCAGCCAGAAAAGACAGCTAAAGAGCCATTATCGAGTCCATACAGGTACGATACCAATAAGGTGAGAAAAGGTTTGCATCACTGGTGAAGAAATGCAGACACAAAGTATTTGTGAAACAGTAGGTCCACCTTACAGAACTGATGAAAGAATTGAGAAAAGCAGTCAGGCTAGGAATGCAGCTCATTTAGTAGAAAGCTTGCCTAGTATGAATGAAGCCCTGGGTTCACTCCCCAGTCCACGTAAAACTGGGCATGCAAGCACACATCTGTTATCCCAGCACTGGAGAGATGGAAGCAAGAAGATCAGAGTTCAAAGTCACCCTCGGGTACCTAGTGAGTTTAAGGCCTGCCTGGGATACCTGAGACTATAGCTTTAAAAAAAAGAAAAAGTCAGAGGTTATTATAATGTTATTCTCCACTCTCATAAGACTCAATTTAATGTTTGTAACATAATTTTGGAACTATATATAGAATAGAACCACCACAGAACTGCTGTATCCAAAATTGCTTCTTGCCCAAAAGGCTTCAGTTGGTTGGCTGTTGCTAGTAGCACCTGGAAAAATATGTCTTATCCATGGCTTCTGATCTGCTAAAGGTCCTGTTCTCCTTCCTGCCAACTGATAAGAAATGAAGGGGGGGGGCATTATTCAAGTTCAACTGGCCAGTCCCACTAGTGTTTGGAGAGAAGGGTATTTAGAAGGGCTACGAGGACCCTTGCTCTCAGAGAAGCACTGAGTTGAGATCCATTGAGTAATAAAGTTTATTGTTGTTGTAAAGTGCCATATTTAAAGTGATTATTTTTCAGGGCAGTGCTTTAACACAGTCACTGAAGAAATGCAGGGAGAACATACATGCACTGACACTTTTTTTATCGTTGCGGCAAGGCCACTCACTACCAGAATGCAACCACTGCCATCGAAAATTCATGGATGTGTCTCAACTAAAGAAACATCTGCGAACACACACAGGTAACATGCCACCTCATTCAGCCTCCTCACTGCACATGGTGTCCTCTGTGTTTGGTATGTTTATTGCAAATGTGGTGCAAGTCTGATGAGTTTTATTTAAAAGTCCACGTGAAGACAAAATGTTGTCATTGTTGTGTAGGGACATTCCATCCCGCTGTGAGTCAGCACCAAGTGCTGTCACCACTGTTGTGTGAGGACGTTATATCCCGCTGTGAGTCAGGACAAAGGAGATCACCTGATGAACACTGCTCATGTGTGAAAATTCATGTGATCCCACAGCAAGTGTAAGTCTCAGTCTGGTGCTATGTCCCACGCCAGTTACTTCAACCCTGAAGGTGTTATCACTGAGGGTGGTAACAATAAATTGTTCAGACAAGGAAGCAGACAATAGACACAAAGGTAGACACAGAATTCCTCACTCTGTCCTCTGGAACCAATGCTTAAGGCAGCGATGAGAAGGCAGCTTTGTTGGGGCAGGGAGGGTTTGGGGTTTTGTTTTGTTTTTTTCCATTTTAAGTTCAAAGAAGTAAAACTGTCCATCTTGTACCTTTTTGAAGGGATATGGGTTAAAAATAAGCCTGTTGGATTTTTCCAAGAAACAGTTTCTATTAGGGTAGATTATTTAATGATTCTGTCAAGTTGTCATCTAATATTGTATAGGCAAATCTCTTGAGTTCAAGGCTAGCCCAGTCTACAGAGTGAATTCCAGGACAACCAGGGCTTCCCAGAAAAACCCTGTCTTAAAAAACAAAAATAAACAAAGAATTGTTTAGTTTTTGGAACTTTGATTTTTTTAATGCAGGTTGGTAATTTCCTAACTTGAAGAAAACCTAGTATAGATTAAGTATTATCCAAGTGCTTGGGATCAGAAACACCCAAATGAAGATGGAGGTTTCTAAGCCACCTGGTCCTACAGTCATTTAGTCCCAAATAAACACACAGAGACTTCTATTAACTAGTCCTTTATTGGGTTAGAAAGGAGATGGTCTTTCCCTTATAACAATATAATGAACACATCTCAGAAGAGCATGTAGTATATGTGGTGAGTTTGTTCATTACAATGCAAAATAGAAGCTAAATCAAACATTGCTCCCTGTGGGGGAGAATAAACTAAACCCATTAAAACATTCAGGGCCTTCATATGATCTGTCTGTCTCTAGCACCCAGCTCAATGGTGGTAAGAGATATTGGCAGCCCATTCCTTACCCAGAACCAGGTTTTATTTATTTATTTATTTATTTGTTTGTTTGTTTATTTATTTATTTATTTTGGTTTTTCGAGACAGGGTTTCTCTGTGGCTTTGGAGGCTGTCCTGGAACTAGCTTTTGTAGACCAGGCTGGTCTCAAACTCACACAGATCCCCCTGCCTCTGCCTCCCAAGTGCTGGGATTAAAGGCGTGTGCCACCAACGCCTGGCCTGAACCAGGTTTTAAAGCAGACATTTTGCCAGCATAGCCATACTTGGTTTAAAGACCTAGGCTATCCTTTGTTTCTTAGATCTTCAAGTGCACACTCTCCAGGTGAGATGCCACGCTCCAGGCACTGGAGAAACCAAAGGCGTGTTATATCCTTGTTCCCCAGGCTATCCTAAGAGAGGGGAGGCAGCTTGTCAAGTGTGCAGTCAGTGCTGCCATGAGAGGTGCTGGGTAAGAGGAAACCTATCTCATGATCTCACAATCAGACCTTTCCTCTGACCAGGAGCAGGTCACGCTTGTGGGGATGTAGTGAAGCCAGGCAAACTCACATGACTGATAAGGGGCCCCTTGTTTGTTGTGGTTTTTGTTCTTTTGAATGGGTTTTGCTGTCTTGCTTAGCTTGGCCTAAGAGCGCACGGCTCTCCTATGTCGGTATCATGAGTGCTGGGACGTAGGTGTACACCACCACCACGAACTATGTTTTTCTGCTGTCCTTACCACCTCTTTCCCGATAGCAGTGTTCCTAGAAACCAGATTAGAGGTGGGAACATTGCCTAGTGTGCTGCAGTCAAGTCAGGGGAATTAGCTGTGCCCAGCCATCCTTGTGAGTAACTTCTGATGTACAGGGCAATTCCAGTCTCTCAGTCCCTTAGATGGTGTCTGATAAATACTGATTCCACGTGGGGCTCCCATGCTCACGTGACTGTCCTGCCTAGTCACAGGACAAAGTTCATGACATCTCGGTTTCATTCACAACCTCATTCTGTGGGTGAGGTGTGAAGCTGCCAAAGTTTCTAGGCCTGTGTGTTGAGATGACCCCATCTTGCTTGTTCCAGTTTTCCTGAGATGTAGGGCCTCTTGCAGACTCTGTGTGTATCCATTAAGCATCTCAGCACAGTGTGAAGGAGCCACAGAAAGGAAGATGAGTCTTGTCCCCAAAGTGGAGACCTTAGTCAGGAAGGCAGAGCGATAAGCGGGTGAGAGAAGCGGGTGACTCGGGAAGCATGTAGGTTTGCCCCCGTCAGGCGTGGGAGTTTGAGGGTGGGAAAGCCTGGCTATTTACAGTGAACCAATGGGGTGAGGCTACAGACAGTGGGCAGACCACAGAAAGCAGCCAGGGGCATGAACTGGGGAGGGGGTTGTCTTTATTTGTGTCTTGTGAGAGGACTTGGCCAGAGAAGGAACAGTAATAGCAGACCAAGAAAGAGGAAGATCTTCAGGTCAGGAGAGTGGGTGAAGAGAGATGTTTGGGAACTCATTGGTCTGGGACAAAATAGTCATTGCTTGTATGACTGTTGATATTCCAAAATTTAAAAAAAAAAAAAAAACAGGAAACCAGGCAGAAGTCGAGGACCCTTTAGAACTGAGTCAGCTCTGCCTGCATCTTCCTGAGAGTCACCCTCATGTGTCTGGCTTTACCTTTCATTGTTACTGTCTAAGCCTCCTATAACAGACTTCCTTCTGGTCTCTGCTATTCAAGTGCTGACATCTCCCCTTTAACCTCTGTCTCCATCTGTCTCCTGCATCTCCTGGCCCAGGCCTTGGGACCTCACGCAGTCTGGCAGGAAATCCTCCAGCCCAATTACTGACACAATCTGAGCATATCATCTTTTTTTTTTAAGATTTTATTTATTTATTATGTATACAACATTCTGCTTCCATGTATATTTGCACACCAGAAGAGGGCATCATATCTCATAACAGATGGTTGTGAGCCACCATGTGGTTGCTGGGAATTGAACTCATGACCCTTGGAAGACCAATTGGTGCTCTTAACCTCTGAGCCATCTCTCCAGCCCCTGAGCATATCATCTTACTACTTAAACCTGCCTAGAATTTTGGCTCATCTTTGAGCCCACCACTCCTCAGAGTGAATCCTTGTACCCTAGCATTTTGGTTATATGTATACCAGTGCCCAGACAGGCCCCTCCAGTCTCTCCTGGTCCTGGCACCCCCACATCCTCCCAGCATCCTGTCTGCACTCAGTGCTCTTGATTTCAGCTGTTAGTCAAGCACACTCCAAGTTATCTACCCTCTCAAGTAGACTGCACACCCTTCCTGAATCCATACTCATCTCTTGTTGCTGTCTTTCCTAGCTGTTCACTTGGCTGGTGGTCTGTCAGAATTTCGGGACTGAATAAAAGAGAGGAATGGCCACTGGATTGAAGGAGGTTTACACAGGACAGATCCGAAGCCAGGGGTCAGAACACTTCATCAACCTTGTGGCTTGTGTCCTACAGACATAAGTGTTGGAAACCTAATGGCTGACAAAAAGGTGTTAAAACAGTCAGACAGTCATGAATGGAGCTATACTGCAGTGGGGCAGTGATGCACTAAGAATGAGTAGTACTTTCCCTTCCCCCTCTAGCATCCTCTTTCTTTTCCACCTTTTGCTGTGAGAGGAACAGCAAGACGGCCTTACCCAATGTGGGCCCTGCACTCTGAACTTCCCACTCTCCTGAACTGTAGCTAAGATCTTGGGGCTGTGCATGGTGATGATGCTTTTAATGTAGTACTCAGGAGACAGAGGCAAGTGGATCTCTGTGATCCTCTGTGAGGCCAGTCAGAGCTACAGAATGAGACTAAAAAAATATTCCCAACTATCTGTGTATTTGAAACACAAGTGGAGTGGGTACGCAGTCCACATGAGAGGTGGAAACTGGCCAAGGTCTGAGCAGGTACCAGCTCTGATTAGAAAGCCACCTGGTTGTAACCTTTGGAGTGATAAAAGTTAATGATACACTTGCTGATCCATCCAGCTTGTCTCGTACACAGGTGCCCTGCCTGGGTGGAGCTTAGAGACAAGTCTAGTCTGAAAGAGCATCTCAAGTTGCCTTCCTTCCCTGATGTTCTCTAGTGAAGACATTTTCTGCTCCTAGAGGGGTTTCCAAAACTCCCCTCACCTGCATTAGGATCCCTTCACTTTGCTAAAGGGGGGGGGGAGGGGATGAGAGTCCATTGTTGCATGGGTAGTGTGCAAACTAACACTGAAGAACACTTGTTGCTGTTAACCAGTGAGGTGTGAGCACTTGCACAGTTTATGTGAGCCTCAGACCACCCCTGGGAAACTCATTCATTTAGCAGGGTGTGTGTGTGTGTGTGTGTGTGTGTGTGTGTGTGTGTATGCACGCGTGCACATGTGTGTGCGTTTGTGCAGGAGTTCGTGTAAAGATCTGTGACCTGTTGTAGTGTAAAGCTTTGGCTGCCATCTCCAGATGGGGCCATTGGAGCATTTTCTGCCACTGTGAAATGTTCTGTCAGTATGGAGAGGCTCACAGTTTGCCTTATAGACTGTATATAGCCAGGAAGTAGTAATAGGCCCCTTTCCAAGACTTCTATGATTCAAGACGGAGGGAAGTGAGAAATAGTCAGCTTCTGGACGTTTTGGAAGGTAGTTATAAATGTGAATACTGTACCCTAGTGCCCAGAAGTCCCTTTGAAGGTCCAGAAGTTCTGCAGGGGTGCAACAGTCAAATGTTAGATTCAAGGGTAAAAAATGCAGGGTAACTATGAGTTCTTTTACTACCCAGCTTCTCCGTCAAGGGAAGGGACCACACATCCCCTGCATCCTCTTGGCCCTGCCCAGATGTGCTTCTTGCACTCTATTAGAGAGTTGCCTTACTCCTTCCCATTGTGATTGAAAGGGCCTAGGTTGTTACTTGTTTTTCTTCCCTCCTACCCCCAAAACAGGGTAGTTCTGTGTAGCCCTGGCTGTCCTGGTGGAACTCTGTAGACCAGACTGGCCTCAAATGTACAGAGATCCTCCTGCCTCTGCCTCCTGAGTGCTGGAATTAAAGGTGTGTGTCACTACCACCTGCCCAGGGCTGTTAGTTTCTAAAGTCAGGTGTGTATTAATAAACATTTTCCTCATTCCTTTTTTAGGTGAGAAGCCATTTACTTGTGAAATCTGTGGGAAATCTTTCACAGCAAAGAGTTCCCTTCAGACCCACATCAGAATCCACCGGTAAGCTTGTTTAGGTATTGGTGAGATGGACTTACCTCTATAGCCCATGCTGGCCTCAAACTCTTGCTTCTCTGCCCCAGTACTGGGACTGCAGGTGTATGCCATCACACCTGGCTTTTTTGGTTATTTAGCAGCCTCACTGAACTCTGGTGTTCTGTGGGGTAACCTATGCTCTATATAAACTTTTCTTCCAGTTGTTACTCTGCTAGAAATTTCTGTGTGATTTATTATTTTATTTTTCAATAATTAAATTTCTCAGACAAAAATCAGCAATATTAGTTCTGGCCAATAAAAGCTTGCACTGTTGTCTTCATTATTAATTTTTTCTTGTGGGAGTGGTCTAAAGCTTATATATTCAATCAGAAGCAAACATGAAGGCCTGGGGAAGTGGTGCAGTGAATTAACTACTTGTTGCCTGAGAGTGAGGATTTGTTTGGATCTCCAGCCCCCATGTAAAAGCCAGAGACAATGCTGATGTGTGTAGGAGGGAAGAGCACAGAGGCAGGTGGATCCCGGGGTTGTCTGGCCGCCAGGCCAACCAGAATGACAAGCTCTGGGTTCAGTAAGGGACCCTGTCTCAAAAAGTAAGGTGGGGAGTGGTAGAGGAAGACTCCCAGTGTTGACCTCTGGCCTCCACACGCACCCAAAGATACATTACACACACAAAGCATTAGTAGAGTGTGTTATGCTTAAATCTCAGCACATAGGATGTAGAAGCAGGAGGGTGGCCGAAAGTTCAGGGCTAGCCTGGACTACAGAGTTAGAGCTTGTCTCAAAAGGAAGAAAATAGTATTATCTGGAGTTGAGCATGACAGTGCATGCCTATAAGCCCAGCACCTGGTAGGCAGAGGCAGGAAGATCAAGATTAGAGACTAAACTGGACTACATAGGAAAATTCCATCCAAAATAAAAGGGTTCTGTTTATAAAAATTACTAGGTTAGATTTAGGTATAGTTCTAAAAGCTTCAAAAATAATTTGGATTTTTGAATAATTTGAATTAATTCCCCAGGCTTAAAATTTTAGTATTAGCTGAGTGTTGGTAGCACATGCCTTTAATCCCAGCACTCGGGAAGCAGAGGCAGGCGGATCTCTGTGAGTTCGAGGCCAGCCTGGTCTCCAGATTGAGTGCCAGGATAGGCTCCAAAAACTACACAGAGAAACCCAGTCTCAAAAAACCAAAAAAATTAATATTAATATTAATCATAATATATACATACCTACTTGACCCTTAGAGTCTAAAAATCAGCAATGAGAACTAACAGCAAAATAGAACAGTTTATGTAATATGTGTTTACCTTCTTACCTGAAACACATAACAGTAGAATTATAATATTTCATCCCGTGTAGCCCAGTCTGGACTGCCACCCTACTGTAAACCCTTTTTAGCCCCTTTTTTATTTTTGAGACTTGAGAAGCACCGAAGTGGTTCACTCCCAAGTCCATAGTTGGTAGGAGAACCTGACTCTGGAACCTGCCTGGTCAGTGTTCTGTGTTGTTTTCTCTGTAGTGTGAAGCAGAGCTGGAGCTTTTTAGGGGTTTTGATGAGGGTTTAGAGACCAGCATCCAGGGAAAGGAGAGCTTATAAAGAGGATAGCAAACACACAAGCGGGTGCCAGCCCAGTGTTCCTTTACCTTTGATTGCCTCCGCCTAAGTAACCAGGAAGCAGAGAACAAGTGTTTCTGTGTGTTTTCTTACAGAGGAGAAAAGCCGTACTCCTGCAGCATCTGTGGCAAGTCCTTCTCTGACTCCAGTGCCAAGAGGAGACACTGCATCCTACATACAGGCAAAAAGCCTTTCTCCTGCCCTGAGTGTAGCTTACAGTTTGCTCGATTAGACAATTTGAAGGCTCACTTGAAAATTCACAGCAAAGAGAAACACACATCGGATTCCAGCAGCGTTTCTGGCAGTAATGCTGACGAGGTCCGAAGCATTCTTCAGCTACAGCCATACCAGCTCTCCACCTCAGGAGAGCAGGAGATTCAGCTTCTTGTGACTGATTCTGTGCATAACATTAACTTCATGCCAGGCCCCAATGAGGGGGTCAGCATTGTGGCTGCTGAGAGCTCTCAGAACATGGCCACGGACCCAGCTGCTAACCTTGCCCTGCTCACACAGCAGCCGGAGCAGCTGCAGAGCCTGATTCTTTCTGCTCAGCCGGAGCAAACAGAGCATATTCAGAGCCTCAGTATGATTGGAAGCCAGATGGAGCCTTCACAGGCGGAGCCGGTGCAATTAATCACACTTTCCAAGGAGACGCTGGCACTGGCGCATCTGCATGCCCACCAAGGGCAAACAGAGGCGCTCCGCTTGGCAGCAGATGCTTCTGATCCAGCTCAGCACCTGCAGCTGACTCAGGAGCCTGATCCACCCCTACCCACTCCACTAGGCCAAGAACAGAGCTGACTCAAACACATGACTGACCATTCCACTGGACCCTTCTGTGCCAGCAGTGACAGGCTCACCCCTTGGGCCACCATCTTACAGATCCTTAAAGATGTGACAGCTAGCCAACAGATTATTTATAATGGGTTCCATTGAGTCGGAATCTGTGTGTTGACATGTGTGCACAATCTGTTTTATCTATAATACCAATTCATATTTAGCATTTAAATATCGATGAGGGGTTCCACTTTCATCTACTATGTCTCTTAAAGATGGGTAGTTTTTCTTGGGAGCATTGATTTAGACTTTTCTGCTAGTGTTGAATGTTCACTGCCATAGAGTGTGATCTTCTTTAGAACAAAAAGTCATATGTAGGTTGAATCTTTGGGTATGGTGGTTAGTTCCATTTCATTATTTCTATTAGGCAGTATACTTGCCAGTCCAAAACAAGTCAGGACTGACATGTACTTGATTACAGCAAGCAGGAGATTTTCCCTCCAGAAACTCTTAAATAGCACCTCTTAAATTTTATCTTTGTGTGGCTCAGTGGGCTAATCCTGTTGCACTGAAGGTAGATTCAAAGTTGAAAACCATACTCGTGATATGAAAGCCAAATGTATTTTTTGTTTGTTTTTCGAAACAGGGTTGCTCTGTGTAACAGCCCTAGCTGTCCGAGACTCATTTTGTAGACAAGGCTGGTCTCGAACTCACAGAGATCCGCCTGCCTGTGCCTCCTGAGTGCTGGGATTAAAGGCATATGCCATTACCACCTGGCACAAAGTGTTGTTTGAAATTTTTTGAGTTCCATTTTCTGCAGAACATGAATTTATACATTTTTTAAAAGAAGCAGGCTGTTTGAAGTATGAAACTAAATCAGTATACTAGTTCCAAATAAACCAAAGTTTGTCAGATAATGACTTGATGTTCATGAAAAAGGTTCTTAATTACCTGGAACTTGAAAGTTTATTCAATATAAGTCTTCATTACACTATTAATTCTCTTGATCTCAAAATACTGATTTACATGTTCAATCTTAGAACTTCCTAGAAGTGGAAGTGTGCAGTAATCTATTCTTATTGAACTCTAGGTGAAACTCCAACACACCGTTTAATCTTGAGCCTCAGGGTGGAGTAGCCAGCCTGTGCCTATGATTGTGAGTCTTTCAGATCATCACCGAAGGTTAAGTTATGTTTGGGTTGTTTTCAAGATCACTACATTCAGTTGAATTCTTCGTTAATGTCTCATAGGGTGGGCAGTGATGTCTGAGACAGAGACAGGGTTCAGGTAACATAATGGGGATAAGAAGTGTATTCAAAACCAACATCTGCTTCATGTCAGCTGCTTTCTTATCTTACTGCTCCTATTCCCACTGAAATCCAGTGGTTTTGGCATACAGGATTTTTACAGAAATAGATAATTCTTCAGGTTACAGATAAGATCAAAGTATTTTTGTTGCATATTTACCAAGTTGTATTTTACTATACAAAATTTACAAATTGAGTTACCAAGGTAGTAGATAGATATGTATCAGCTAAAGTAATATGAAACTGGACCTGACGAGAGCAGACTTTTTACAAATACTGTTTTAGTATTTTAGATTCTTGATTTATTCATTTAAACGCTGTACTCATTGTGCATTTGTGTGAGCTCGGGATATGTGTGTGCACATGTGTGGAGGCTACAGGAGGACATTGGCTATCCTGGCATGTCACTCTTCCTTATTTCCCTGAGACAGGAATCTGGAAGCAGGTGTCCAGCAAGCCTCTACCTCACAGCATTGGGCTACAAGCACACAAGGCCATTTTCTGGATTTTAATTTGTGTGTTGGGGTCCAAGCTCCAGTCTTTATATTTGCACAGCAAGTGCTCTTACCCACTGAACATGTCTCTAGCCCCTGTTTATTCCTAAAACACAAAGTCTTTATGTTGCTTTCAAAACCTCCTAATACTCTTTTCTCAAAATTCTACATTGTATTAAAGTAAATTATTTTTTTTTCACTCTAGACAGCATGGTTGTACAGCTATTGGTTTGGTTTTGGTGCTGAACTCAGCCCATATAAGTTAAATTTAATTTACTTTATAACAGTCTACCTCTGCACCAAGAAATATAGCATGAGTTAGGCCTGGTGGTGCAGGCCTGTGATCCCCAGAGGCAGAAGTGGAGACAGGAGGACCTTCAGTTTAAGGCTAGCCTGAGCTACTTAAACTCTGTAAAAGAAAACTAAGCCTGGAGCTATAGGTGAATGGTACAGTATGTTCCTGGCATACACAAGACTGGGTTCAGTCCTTAGCACTGGGAGAAAAAATAGGTACAAGACACAAGAAATTTAAAATACTAAAAAGCTACATGTAACAATACATGAAATTAATCTTAACAAAGTTATTTAATCTACTCTCCTGGTTGGTCAGCCTTAATTATCAACACAGCCTATACTGAGGCATATGAGAGAAGCAATTGAGGGGTTGCCTAGATCAAGTTGGTCTGTGGCTATACCTGTGACCAACTGTCTGGATCATTAACTGATGCATGCGGGCCCAACCCACTGTGGGCAGCACCAATCCTCAAACGAAGCAGGTGGTCCTGGGCTATATTAAAAAGCTAGTTATCCGGGCATTGGTGACACACGCCTTTAATCCCAGCACTCGGGAGGCAGGGGCAGGTAGATCTCTGTGAGTTCGAGACCAGCCTGGTCTACAAAGCTAGTTCCAGGACAGCCTCCAAAGCCACAGAGAAACCCTGTCTCAAAAAAATCGAAAAACAAAACAAAAACTAGTTAAGCATTATCCAGCCAGTGAGTGAGTCACTGAACAAGCCCCCAAGCCAAGTTTCTCCATGTCTCCTGCCTTGAGCACCAGCCTTGCCTTCCCTTGGTGATAGATCAGGGCTTGAAAGCCAAATTATAGTGGGAAACTACCAATACAGAGTCAGGTAGAAATATAAGGGTATTTAATAGGGAAAAGCCTTACTTACAGAGCAACCTAGCCAGCCGGCGTGGTAGTGGTCTGTACAGCAAGAAGCAAAGAGAAACCGAAAGCGCAAACGCAGTCACACTACGTCACTCTGACCACACCCTCACAAGCGTGGTCAGGCGCACCTGTAGCCAGCCCCTAAGAAGGCGTGGCTACAGCTTCCCCTACAATTCCCCTTTTAGGCTAAAAGAGGAATAAAACTTAACAGTGTAAAATATCCAAAATTAACAATCATAAAGATAAAATATAAGAAGATACAACAATCTGCTTATGTCACATCCTATCTATTTTAACTAAACCCTAAAGTCATCTGACAGAGGTATCCAAGCCTGAACACCTCCTTCCAATCCCAACCAAAAACAATAGGAAGCTATCCCTAACTAGGTATATAGCTGCCTACACCAAATAAACCCTTTCTTCTCCCAAGTTGCTTTGGTCATGGTATTTGACACAGTCACAGAATTTGACTAGAACATTTACTGTCATATATTTCAATGTGTAATGGATATTAAAGTGTATTAATTAGATTTTACATCCTCCCTTGATTCAAAATGGTTGTGTATTTCATACTTGCTGTATATCTCAATTTTGACAACAATGTTTGCTGGTAGTATGTAATTTGCATTTAGATATCATACAATTTATGGGTTAAAAAAACCTAGATTCATAAATCACATAGTTCAGACAACTTTTCAATCACTGAAAGAAATACTAATGTTTAAAAGTTCTTGGTTGATCTGGCCACATGATAAGCCCTCCAAGACTGTTTCCAGAATGGATCCAGTCCCAGCCTTGACTATGTCATCTGACCAGCTGTCAAGGGAGAATCAGAAAGTGATGGTTTGCTTGCCCTAGCTCTCTGTGTGTCCACAATACACATTCTGTACCTTGGGATGAAGCTCCTTTTTAACACAGTGGCTTTTTTTTAAAAGACACTTTTTTAAAAAATTATTTTTATGTTTATAAGTTTGTAAGTCAGGGCTCTCTAGATTAGCAGAACTGTAACAATAAATCTTTCTGCCGAAGCTACCCAAGCCCTGCCACCATGTGGGCACTTTTCGCCAGCCACTGGAGTTCTGCCCACCGTGTTAGGGCCCCAAATATCACACAGAGACTTATATTAGGTACAAATGCTGCTTAGCCAAAGACTAGGATCTCTCATCTGCTAGCTCAGTCTTAATTATCAACCATAATCATAAGACTTATCTTATGGAGGACACTGGGGGGAGGCATCCTGTCTTCCTGGGCTCACATGGCAGCTCCACAGAGAGAGCAAGAGGAAGAGCAAGAGGACGATTTCCTGTTTGTCCCTACTTATATTCTGAGTCTGCCTGCTATGTCACTTCCTTCCTATCTTTTTACTACATTTCCCAGAATCTTCCTTGACTCCTAGTCCCACCTATCTTGCTTTCCTATTGGCCAACAGTCAACCAATAAGACAAACATACACAGAAGGACCTCCCCCATCACAGAACTTACAGAATGTATATATGTGTATGTAGAGAGATAGAGATAGATTGATAGATGCATGCATACATACATAACATACATACATACATACATAGATGGTACTCCCTACTAATCCAATAATGGCAGGCTATGAATGGAAGGTTCAAGAATCCAGAAGTTGCTCAGTCCACAAGGCTGGATGTCTCAGCTGGTTTTCTATGTGCATGAGAATCTCAGAGAAGTAGGCTCTAATGCCAGTGAAGGAATGGACTTGCTCGATAGAGCAAGCAGGTGAAGAGCTAAAGCTTCCTTCTTCCATGTCCTTATATAGGCTTCCAGCAGAAGGTGGGGCCCAGATTAAAGGTGTGTCTTTCTGTTGCTTGAGGTTGCCGTGTGCGCTCAAACATGAACTGTAGTCCGTGAGGCTAAGACTTCTTTATTCAGGTAAACACCAGTCCAAAACGCAAGCCAGAGCGAGCCCACAGGTAGCAAGCTAGCGTGGCCAGAGAGAAGGAGCTTTCCACGTGAGCCCTGCTCTTTTTGAACCTCCTTCTACATCATCTCAGACTTCCCCTCACCCCGCCCTCACGGGCGTGTCCCCGCACATCTGTCCGGGGTACCTGGGGCAGGGCTAGGGTGTCTCCCTACCTCTTTCTGCCTCAAGATGCAGATCAAAGGCGTATGGCTTCCTGCCTCAAAGGTCCAGACTAGAAACCAAACCACTCCAAACCAAGCAAAAATAATCTCACAGGTGTGCCCCTCCATTTCTGGATTGTAGTTCATTCTAGATGTAGTCAAGTTGACAACCAAAAATAGCCATCATAATAAGTGTTTTGCCAGCACGTATGGTCTGTGTACCATGTGTGTGCCTGGTGCCCTCAGGTCAGAAGAGGGTGTCAGATCCCTTGGAACTGCAATTGGTGGTGGTTGTGAAACACCATGTGGGTGCTGGGAACTGAACTTGGGTCCTCTGTTAAGCAAGTGCTCTTAACTCTTGAGCCATCTCTCCTGTCCAAACTCAGTGACTTCTATACCCAAATGAAACAGACATGAAAGTGTTTCTCAAAGTCCTTGAAAGATGACACAGCCAGGGTCATATTTCAGGGTTCATTTTGTATTAAATGTGCAATTTTAAAAATGTTTTGAAGTGCAGTTCTAGGACTAGGATATTAATTTTGGGGTCTAGTGCAGGCAACCTTGCTTGGAAAATGAATCTTTGAGCCAGGTGGTGGTGGCACATGCCCTTAATCCCAGCAGAGTCAGGCAGATCTCTGTAAGTTTGAGGCCAGCCTGGTCTACAGAGCGAGTTCCAGGACAAGCTCCAAAACTATAGAGAAACCCTGACTCAAAAAACAAGAAAGGAAGGAAAGGAAGGAAGGAAGGAAGGAAGGAAGGAAGGAAGGAAGGAAAGAAAATGAATCTTTGGCTTTGGGAAAGCTTATTGTGAAAACATCAGTCATGTGCTTGCCTAGTGTTTCTTGAAATGTCCTGCCTCTCCTTTTTGTTTTCTCCATTTGGGTCTTTGGTTTTAGATGCTTTGAGTGATAGGTTAAATGACCAAGTCAGGTTCTCATTATAGATGCTTACATATGAGCTTACATAAACTGGAGTATGATCTGCCCCACAGGGCATCTACTGGGCCTTGAGGGAAGCTGGATGGTAGGCCTTCCTCCCACCACACTGCTTCTCAAAACTTTGGGATGCAGTGGCATGTGGGTGGCAGGCCTGTCATCTGAGCATGAGGAGGTAAAGACAGGAGGGTCAGGAATTAATGCTTTGGCTACATGGTATGAAGACAGCCTGAGCTACATGAGATCAGGTCTTAAAAACCAAAACCAGGATTCATAAGGCACCATGTGGTTTGGGGACTTGGGGACTCTTATCCCATCAGGCTGTGCCATAATAGGTACTGCTTCTTCAGCAGCATGGATTTATTTGATTACAACTCTGGTTAGAAATAGGACCTTGAGTTGGCAGAGAGCTGGCTTTTCTCTGAGGCCTCTTTCCCTGGCTTGTTGCTTGCTTCCTGGGTCTTCCATGCTCTTCCCTCTGTCTGTGTCGAGTCTCCCACCTTCCATAGAGTCATCGGACACAGTGCATTAGCCCACACTAAACCTAATTTGTAACTTCACTAACTCTTGAAAGGTCCTGTTTCCAAGTGCAGTCCTATTTAGAGGCAGTGGTATTGCTGATCACAATGTGGAGTCAGATTTAGATTGATAAACAGGTAGTTTATTAAGAAATAGTACTCATACAATTCCACTTAGTCAGGTAGCAGGGAGTGAGAGAAGGGGCCCATGTGCATGCCCCTAACTACTTAAACCTTTCCCACATCACTGTCACCACACCCAAGAAGGCATGGTCAGCGACACTTGTGTCCAGCCCCAAGCAGGCATGATTATCATTACCTGTGGCCAGCCCCAAGAGGGCATGGTCAGCATTACCTCTAAATAGGATTCCCCCTACAATTCCCCTTTTAGTCTAAAGAGGATTAAAACTTAACAGTGTAAATTATCTATAATTAACAATCATAAAGGTGAATTACAAGAAGATATAATAATCTACTAATATCACATCCTAACTATGTCTATTCCAATTAAACCCTAAAGTCATCTGAAAGAGATGTCCAAGCCTGAAGGGGAAACTATGAACTAGGACATACCTGTGGCCTATGGAAGCAAGTCCTACTTAATCTTCATGACATTCCTATGAGGTAAACAGAATTATTATCATTAGGCCCATTTTACAGATGAGAACAGTGAAGCCCAGAGATGATGTGTTACCGAGTCATAAAGTGGCAAAGCCAGAGCTGTGGCCTTAGCCCGACTGATCTCATTACAGTGCATTCACAAAAGTGGATTGAGACAAAAAGAGAGGGTGTTTGTCTGAAAGGTTGGCACATGGTCAAACTTACATAAAGAAAGAGTTATAGTCCCTCCTACAGAAATGGATCAGCATAATTGCAATGATACCAGTACTAACTCTATGTTATTAATCAAAATTTACCAAGTAGATGAAGGTTACTAGGAAGGTGGAAGTACCTTAGCTACCTCAGCCTCTCCGTAAGTGAGTCACTCTTTTTCTTTTTCCCAAAGTTTAGGACAGATTTGATTTATAAGTATTAAGCTAAATTTTTATTTTCTATTTCTAAACTTCAGTCTAAATCCTCATGATTCAAAGAAAACCCTTTGTTCCTGCTTGTGTAACCTCTAAAACCAAACTCTCCCTTGCCTGCCTCATGGGGGGTGGGAAGGAGTGACCTCAGAAGCTAATGTCACCATAATGGACTTGTTCTCAAAGTCATTATACCTGGTTAAGCAACAAAGACGTTACTGAGCAGGTAATTCTCAATTGAAATGTCCCATGTTAGTTGGATTTTTGAGCTAAGGCTCATTCAACCAGATTTTTGATATAATACAGAAACTTGACCACATTTAGATAACAGTGGCAAGGATTCTTGGCTTGTTTTTGTTTGTTTTTGAGCTTGAAAAGTGCTAATTTTTTGGTAAAGTGAAGTGTGAGATGAAGAAAAGCCATGTGCACACATGGAACACAGAGATTCTATGTCCTTGGGCATGGATTTTTTATTTTGAATTCTTAGTAAGTGTGATATATCACTTTATAATTTGAAAATAATTTCCCAAAGAATAGTTTGGCTCTTGAATTTAATCTAGTTGGTTTGTTGAGTCAGGATCTCATACAGACCAGAGTGGGCTTGATCTTCTGATCCACCTGTCTCTACCTACCAAGTTCTGGGATTGCAGGTGTACAACACCAGGTGCAGCCAACTCCATATTACTCTACCCTGTTAAATGAAAGTTCAGCTGAAACTGCATCAGGCTGAATTAGAGAAAAGCCACATTTTAAAATTACGCAATTAAGTGACTTCTGGTGTTTGAAGAGCAAAAGGAGTCTCGGACAGAAACCTGGATCTCTTATCACTTAGGGGCCTGTGAAAGCATTCTCTGCCTTCAGAAAAAGCAGCATACAGAGTGATGTGTGGAGAGAAGAGGAGGAAAGGATGGCAGGCCAGTTTCCTTCAGACTCACCCAAAGAGAGGGGCAAGTGCTTAGCTTCTGTGATCATTTTGTGATGGGGTCTCATGCAGTGCAGGCTGGCCTTGAACTTGTTATGTAGTGGAGGATGACCTTAAACTATGATTCTCCTGCTTCCACCATCAGAGTGCTGATGTCACAAGCAGACGCCTCTACATCCAGTTTGTATATAATGCTGGGAATTAAACCGGGGCTTCTTGAATGCCAGGCAGGCACTCTACCAACTGAGCTACGTCCTCAAGCCAGGAGTGATTCTTAGCGAGGCTCTACACATGCAACACACACACCCTCTGCCCACTTGGCATCTATCACCAGGTCATATCAGTTTTACCTCAAGCTATCTTTTGAGTCTATCCTGTCCCCGTCCTCACCACCCATTGTGTCCCTTGCCTAAACTCTGCCATGGGTTCCGAGTTATGGTTTCTAATTCCCCTACCAAGGCCTCTTCTCCAGCACAAGGTTGTAATCCATTGTATTTCACCACTATCCCTTTAGCAACAAGCAGAATGTCGCTAAACTGATAGATTGCATTATTTTAGTTATGGCAGATATGACCATGTTCCTTTCTGCTTAAACTCCTGTAGTTTCCCTCTGCACCTAGAAAAAAAAAAAATCCCCAACCCTGCTTCCTCTTCAGCATTCTTACTTCCGCAACACTGGTTACCTAGCTATTGGCCAATACACACCCTGCTCTTTTTTTTGCCTGAGGGCTAGAGGCAGATGGTTCTTCAGCCTGGAAAGTTGTCTGTGCTACTATCTGACTCAGAGAGTTCGGGTCAAAATGAGGAGAGGCCCTCCCAGGCCCTCTAGTCTCCATCAAGCCACCATCTCATAAACTTGAAGGCATGCTGCACCTTTGGCTGGGTGTCTGTTTTACATCAGGACTGTGGTTGTCTGGGCTGTACTGACTATAGGCCAGGCCCACCAGATCGAAGACACTGAGCTGCAGGTCAAGGCCATTATTACAGACTGCTTAAAGATGTCTCCTAGGGTTTCAGAAACTTGTTTTCTGGCTCCAAGCCCAGGAGAACAAAGGTTGGGAGTTGAGATAAGGAAGTGAGAGTGGCACTGCAGAAAGACAGAAAGACATGGTTGGGGACACAAAAAAGAGGACCCTGTCCCTGATGGCTCAAGGATGTAGCCTAAGCAGCTGCTCATGCAATTTTTTCCAAAGCCATTAGAATGGGATTCTTTAAAATTGAATTTTCATGTGTGGGTCATTTTTCCTATTTGATCCAATACAAACTATCTGTATGACTATGCCAACTACTATGCTAAACTACTTTTAGTTCATATAAGTATGTAATTGTGGATCATAACTCAAGATTCTAACAAGAAAAAAAATGCTTGTTCTATTCAGCGTTTTTCTGAGGATCAGCAACATGGAATAAAAAGAACCCAGGGCTGAAATGGACTAAGGAAGTTGAGTCACTAAAACACCACCATTCAGAGGTGAAGTGGTGTTGGGGATTTCTAGTCACACTAGGCCTGGTGCAGATTCCTTCTGGATTCCAAACCACTGCATTCCCCACAGCTCTGTGGCTCCACTGTGTGTCTATAACTAACATCAAAGAAAACTAGAAGTCGGCAGGGTTTCAAGAGCTAAAGAGCTCGTTTTATGATCTTTAACAGACAGTTTTTACAGGTTATTGTTTGTACATCCACATAACCCTGTTCAGCATCAACTGAAAGTGTCTGAAGAAATCTGGGCCTCTGTAAACAAGACCCGGTAAGTTGCGGGCAAGTTGCTGGCGTCCTTCTGCTAATGAAAGGGAAAAGGATGGTACTAAAAGCCTGCTAGCCCATTTATAGTGGGCCTTTTAGAGCATTTTACACTGTGTGTTTAAGTATGGGTGTGTCTGGCGCACTGCAAATTTGTTCCAAGCCAAATGATGTCATATTCAAGAGCTAGAGTGGGGCTGCTGAGAAGCCGCCCTTGCTTCCTGAGTGTGAGAAAGCTGGCATTTTCCTCTCTCTCTCTCTTTTTTCTCTCTCTCTCCCTTCTTATCAGCTGCAACTGAGAGTGCCAGTGTTCTGGATTTACTGGGTATCCTATTGTCTCAGGGCAAAAAGAGAATAAACACAAAAGGACAGCCACTGAACCTCAGCTCCTTATGGTCCTGGATCAAGGAGAGAGATGTGGCCATTTCTTCCTAAGCTAAGCACGTCTGGTGTAGCGATTATTTCACTTCCGTTTAATACCAGACATGGATTAACAGTGGTAGCTTGGAATCCAGAGAGGCCTGCCTGGGTCTGTTTAATCTGTGCGGTAATGAAGCCTCTGACCTTCAGTTAAATAGATTTTGTCAACACTCATTCAATAAATGAGAACTGCTGTTTCATTAACTTTAACTAAAGCTGCTTGATTTTGGACAATTCCTTTCACTATGGGAAATACTAAGACTTTGATTCCAAAGTTTCTCAGCACTCTATTTCCCGAGTCTTCACTTTAGTTCTGATCCTTGAAGATCTAGATCTCTCCCACACACCCCTTCCATGCGCGCGGCTCCCTTGTGTACCCGGTTGAAAGATGCGGACCAGGACTTAAAGCTTTGTCCTTAAGCCTGAGCCTGGGAGCCGGCTGACCTGTCCCAGGAGAGATGGACCCGCAACTGGCTCGTCAGTGGCGCCAGGGGTGTGGATTCCTTGGTTGGAGAGGTGAAGAGAGCTCAGACATCTGGCGCCACTCTTAGACCCTGCAGCTTCAACAAACTTCTTGCAGGAGGCCGGCAGCCCCTCTGCCAGCTCTCGGAAGTGGCTTGCAGCTAGGTACCACCGCGGTAGACTCAGGCACGGTCACTCGGGGGCCCTGCTTTCCCTGTCACTGCCAGGCCAGACCGTTTGGAGGCCCCCAGAAGCCCCGGGTATAAGCAGAACCACGCCCTACAGCACCATCCTGCAGGCGTGGGCGGGACCCAGGGCTGTCCCGAGAGGACGGCGGGGTGAAGAGGTGCGGATAAACCTTCCGCTGTGTTCGGCGCTGGCGCTTAGGTCCAAACTCCTCGGAACTCTCCCGCTTCTATCGCCACACGTCCCTTGCCTTCCCTGCGCCACCCCTTCCTCCGCCCTGGCCCTGGGACACCCTTCCGACAGGAAGCGGCTCATCCAGTCCCAGAACCGCCGGGTAAGTAGTCCAGCGGGGCCAGCTGGACTCCCTTGGGTCCGCTGGGCTGGGGGTGAGGGTGAGGATGGGGGTGGGGAGCGCTTCAGGGGAAATGGGCTGGTGTAGGCTAGGGAGCCACGCCTGGCTGCTTTAGCGGGTCGTGCCGGCCTTGCCCAGACCAGCCCCTTTGTGCAGACTTCGTTGTCTAGAGTGCTGGGAGCTCCTCGCCTCCGCTGCCCGAGGTCCAGCTAGCTCCCCATCCCTTTAGACGCTCCACCCATGCCGCATCCTTTGTGCTGGTATTTCCAGGCTGGGTACCTCTTTTACTTCCTCTAGCAGAGGACGCTCCAACCCGCGGGACTCCCATTCCCAAGAGGAACTTGTGCCTTTTCTAAAGACCTATCCACTCTTGTCCTAGCGACCGGCGGTGGGCA